CTGCAAGCTACACACACAACATGGAGTAAATTGCAGTCCTGATTTGCAGAAGATTTACTAATCAGAGTTTGAGTCAGAGACGCTCAATTGTTCTGTTATTCACAGGGTCTCTCCTCACTATACTTTCCATCCTCCCACATATTCCTTCTTATCTACATGGCTCATGGATGGAGTGCCTGGGTGGCTCAGTCGGTTAAGTGTCCGACTCTTGATTCCGGCTCAGGTTATGATCTCAGGGTTGTGAGATCGAGCCCCATGTCAGCTCCATGCTGGGTGTGCAGCCTGCTTAAGATTCTCTCTCTCCCTCTCCCTCTGCCCCTACCCCCCACTTGGGCCAGTGCGCGCTCTCTCTCTCTCTCTCAAATAAGTAAATAAATAGCTCGTGGATTCCTGAGTTCAGGGCTGACCCATACCAATAAACCCTGTGGAAAAGTGTGATTTCGTACATAGGTCTTTGTCAATAAAGAGCTGCCTTGGTGGGGCAGTTTTAATAGCTTGTTATCCCGATGAATGTTCCAGAAGGAGTACACTGCATCTTGGTAGAATCTTATCAGTTTCTTCATTCATTCAAAAATATTTGAGTATCTACTATGTGTCATGCCCTGTTCTAGGTGCTGGGTATAGAGGGGTGAACCCCACCAACAAAGACTCCACCCAAGCAGAACTGCCTTTAGTAGAGATCCCTGATAAATGAGTAAACAAAGAGAGGTGCGAAGCCCTGTTATTTCTAACCCCACATTTGACTGTTCCACTTAATCTTCTTGAGATCAGATTGTCTTCGTGGTTTTTTTCTCTTGGGTGCCTACTGCTGCTGGGGTTTCAAAGGGCCATGCCTGTGTTGTCCCCTAGGCTGGAATGGCCTCTGCTGCCTCCCCCAGACTCCTATTCATCCTTCTCCTCTGATCTCCATTGCCAGGTTTTGCCCTGTGCCAGCATAGCTAAACACCCACACGTTACGATGTCCTGCTTCTGTGGACATGCCTGAACCCCCTCCTGGACTCGGAACACTTTAATGAGAACATCTATGTCTGATTTGTCTTTATGTCTCCAGGGCCTAGCATGCAGCCTTTTGCGCAGATGCTCAGTGCGTTTGCTCGAGGAAATGTTGAGTCCCACCGCTCCTCGTGGTACGTGATGGTATTACAGAAATCACTTCAAGGGGAGGGATGCTGAGTCTGGGAGAGGGCGCTTTGCTCCAACAGTTCTGTGATTCTCTGACAAGTTCAGCATGAGCCCTGCCATGACCAGAGAACACGGGCTAGGATATGGGCAGTATTGAGTGAAGAGAGGTGGTATGGAACATTCTGATGAGCATTTGAGGGAAAGTTAGAAATGTGAAGTTCTGAGGTTCTAGGACCGAGCGGGAAGGAATAGTGAAGATGCAGGCTTTTACAGCTGTTGTCCACCTGCGGTCCAGAGAGGCTGTGGCTTGACCTGGTTCTGACACTTAATTGCAAATCAGGTGGGGGAACCAGGCCACTCAGTTCAGAAGGCTTTCCACTATGTGGGGACTCTGGTGACAGCTAAGGAAGTAAAGGCACAGAGAGGTGAAGTAACTTGCCCCAGATCACACTGCTTGTAAGTGGGGGAGCATAAATTCAGATGTGGATCTGTCTGATGACAGATGCCAGCTGGTAACCCCTGAGCTACCTGTCTCTTCTTGGGGACTTAAAAACTCAAGCTCTTAACATGTTTTCAGTTCTCCCCTTTGTTAGCTGTAAGACATGATGTATTTTCTTTTTGTTGAAGTCTAGTGGTGTGCTTTCAGGAAAACATTCACATTCTTCAAATATTAAGATAAAAGGCCCTGAATTATTTACTGTGTGCATACACACACAGTACATATAGATAACATGAAGAAGTTTTTGGGTTTTCGCTACCATGAAATTTAAGATATTCCTATTTCATTTCTATCGTATTCCATGTAAAAATAAATATTTCATCCTGTATTGTAATGAATGAGAATCTAGCCCTTTAATGTCACAAACCCTAGCTTCATAGTCAATGAATGTAATTATAGCCTCCTTACCTGTGTGGGTTTGGCACCCTGTTTCTGTAACAACTGTTGACACATGGGCTGGAAAGTGGTTAGGTCACTATTTTAGAAATGGTTCTTTCTAGACACAGAAAAGTTAAATGACATTGAGTTTCAAAATGAGCTGCTAGAGGAACCAAAAATAGAAGCTTTTCTACTACATACGAGACTCACTGAAATTCCTACCACAGAGACTGTCTGCCAGCACTTGGTAGTTTGAAGTCCCGGTCCTGAACTCTCAGCCTGTTGTAACACCAGAAATGTTTCTGTAGGGGGCGGGGGGCAGCCAGCGAAAGGCGAAGGCAGGGCCGGAAGGATTGTTCCTAGGTCATTCCCAACCTTGCTGTTATTAACACAGTTTTCTAGGTGGGAGATAATATGCTCATTAAAGTCCGAGTGTTCATTTACAAATAAAGCCAGAAACCCCAAATGGCTCTATTACATAGATAAATGAGCAGACATAAATGGACTCAATTTTTGTTTTTCATGCTCTGTCATATTCTGTATTCAGGCAAAGGAGTAGGCAAATAAGTAGCTGTTTAAAAATAAAACAGTGTGTTGTTCATTTAACTTTAAAAGCCACTGATGGGAATTAATAATCAGCGTTTCCATGTAGCACTATATTAATGGAAACCCTGACATTACAGTGAGTGGGGATAAGAGAATGATGTTCTTTATCTCTTCATGTAATCTGACTTTTAAAATGCATCTTAATTCACAAATGATGAAGAAAGCAAGCAACATTCAAATGGTATACTGTGGGCATTTAAATTCTTAGCACAAATGACAAATTCCTGTCTCTTGCCCATCTCCCACCCAAACTGGCTTTTATGGAATGACCTTTGGTACCAACTTATTTTACAATAAAATCTTTCCTGAGTTTTTATTTTGAATTGAAATGGCCTTTTCTGTCAAGTATGGTATTTATAAAAGTTTCCTTGTTGAAAAGCCTATGAATTTTGTGCAAATAACCCAGGCAGGCTCTTAGCTTAGTGGTAACATTTGTATAGGACTTCTTTGGCTTTATATGATACGTTTATACTCAGTTTATCGGACCCGTCCCTGTGAGTACTCTGTGGAATTCACATTTTGCTGATGAGAGCAATGTCGAGGGAGGTGCCTTGGCATGGTTCTGGGTACACAGCAGGCATTCAACATTTTGTTTTAAAAGGAAGTTAACAAAGAGAACCCAATAGGTTATTTAACTTGTACGAAGTAGCACAGCAAATATAGGGTGATACCAAGCACTGAACTTCTTTTCTCAAAAATTCCATATGCTGTCACTGTTACACTGATATCTTTTCACACTTTTTAAAAAGGTCAAATTAAAAATATTCATTTTACTTAATTGAGGTTAAATTCACATAACATAAAATTAACTACTTTAAAGCATACATTTCAGTGGCATTTAACACATTCACACAACATTCTGCATCCATCACCCCTATCTAGTTCAAAAATGTTTTCATTATCCCAGAGGAGACCCCATACCCATTAAGCGGTAACCCCATTCCATCCTCCGCCCAGTTATTGGTAGCTACCAATTTGCTTCCTGTCTCTATAGATTTACCTATTCTAGGTATTTCACATAAATGGAATTACACAGTATGTGACTGTGTTAGTCTGTTCGGGCTGCTATAATAGAATATCACAGATTGGCTGGCTTATCTCTCACCTAGAAAACTGTGTTAATAGCAGCAAGGTTGGGAATGACCTATTATTTCTCATATTTCTGGAGGCTAGGAAGTCCAAGATCAAGGCTTGAGCAGATTTGGTTTCTGGTTCATGGATGGCTTTATTCTCACTGTGTCCCCACATGGTGGAAGGGAGCTCTCTGGGGTCTCTTTTATAAGGGCACTAATCACCTCCCAAAGGCTGTACCTCCTAATACCATCACACTGGGGGTTAGAATTTCAACATGTGAATTTTGGTGGGGACATAAACATTCAGTCCATCGCAGTGATCTTTGTGTCTGGCTTCTTTCATTAAGCGTAATGTTTTCAAGATAAATCTATACTGTAGCATGTATCAATACGTTATGACTTTTCCTGGGTGAATTTTATTCCATTGTGGGGATAGACCATATTTAGCTTATCCATTCATCAGTTGATGGACATTGAATTGTTTCCATGTTTTGGCAATTGTGAATAGTGCTGCTGTGAATGTTTGTGTTCAAGTATTTGTTTGAATGTTTGTTTTCAGTTCTTTGGGGTTATAGTTGAATTTTCAGGTAATATGGTAATTCTACGTTTAACTTTTGAGGAGCCACCAAACTGTTTTTTCATAGCGACTGAACCATTTTACATTCCTACCAACAAGGTACAGGTGTTCAGATTTCCCCACATCCTTGCTAACACTTGTTATTTCAGGTTTTTCCTTTTTACTATGACCATCCTAGTGGGTATGAAGCGGTATTTCCTTGTGGTTTTGATTTGCATTTCCCTGATAAAATATTCAGATATTTTTTTGTTATGTTAGTCACCGTACAGTATTAAGCAGGGCACGTATTGCATGGAGAACTGGGTGTTATATGAAAACAATGAATCATGGAAGACTACATCAAAAACTAATGATGTACTGTATGGTGACTAAACTATTCAGATTTTAATGCATAGAGTTAATCAGAAAGTGAGCTTTGGTAAGACGAAATCAACATCAAGATGGTTGGCTTCATCTGTCTTTAGAAGATTATGTAGGACTGGCATAAGCTCACCCCTAGGGTGCATGATTCTGGGCTGAAAATAAAGAATAAGTTGCTTGGGATTAGACTAATGTATGTGGATAACAAGAGCCCAGTTATCCCCTAAACATTTTTTAAAATACTGCTTAAATTAATGAGGAGAAATAAATTCATCGTGGTTTATTTTTGTATCACCTGCCAAAAGATACTTAACTTCTTTGCATTGTAGAGCTTTCTTTATATAATATCTTCATGTCTTAATGATCTATTCATTTATTTTTGCAGTGTGAGTGAAGATATCCGGGATGGCTCAGGGATCTGGGGATCAAAGAGCAGTGGGGATCGCTGACCCAGAGGAGAGTTCTCCAAATATGATAGTCTACCGAAAAGTAAGGCCTCTCGTTAAATGCTAGGGGTGCTGCCTGTGTGTGTGTGTGTGTGTGTGTGTGTGTGTTTTGTGTTTTGTGTAGGGTTGACTGATGGTTGACAACCTGACAAATGTTTTCTGCCTAAACTGCCTTGACTGATAAATGAATATCGTTTTCTTCTCATATCCTCTGATTTTCCAATTCTAAAATTCAAGGAACTTAGGTTTGTCATACTTGAAAAATATGATTTGGTTTACTTTAAAGATTTTATTTTTACGTAATCTCTTCACCTAGTGTGGGGCTTGAGCTTACAACCCTGAGATCAAGAGTTGCACGCTCTACAGACTGAGCCAGCCATGTGCCCCCGATTTGGTTTTCTTTAAATGCAAAGTTTGCCTAAGCAATGCAGAGGGATATATATTCTCATTTGAGGTAAAAGCCTTTGTGTGACATTTATCAATTGTTTTTGAACCCACAGTAGGTACAAGATCTGGTCTAGATGCTGTGGGAGATACAGAGGTATGCATGTATTAGATGTTTGCAGTTGGTAGGAGACATAAGATGTACACAAATAACTGTAATAATCTAAGTGTCAATTTCCAAAAGAGAAGTGCAAATAGAGTGTTATATGAAATCAGAGGAGTAGGTGATTACTTCCAGGCTCGAGGCCAGGTGTGGACTGGCGGAGGGGTGGTCTTTGAACTCCGTTTTAAAGGATGAGTAGGACTGTTTTATGTGGAAAGCAGAAAGGAAGAACAACATTCCAGGTGGTGAGATACGTTCAGCAAAGGGAAGGAGCTGAAGAAGGTGAACAGCAACCAGAACCAGTGAGCTTGGGGACATAGGTGACTTACATGGAGTAATTGAGGTAAGATTTTGGGAAGAGTCTGGATGTAGCCAGATTTTAGAACGTTGAATCATAGGCAATTTAATCATGAAAAAATTTGTGCTAGGAGTTATAAAATTAATATCTCTTTGGCATTATGAGTCTTGCCCCAGTGTGCCAGATGCATTATGAAGGCAGATTCTAGGTTCTGGTGTGTGTGGGGGGGATTGGTATTTCTGTCTCTGTGAGAAAGGTAAGGAGGACACTAATCTAGCGGGGGAAATAACCCTCAGAATTGAGTGAGACTGAGCAAAGGGATTAAAGAGTAAAAATGACTTGGAAACTGAATGAATATAGAATTAGAAGGGGAATAGAGAATCAAAGATGACTGCGTTTTGACCTTGGGTATAGAAAGACATTGATGCCATTAATTCAAATAGGGATAGGAAGGAACTATGGCACATAAGTTTTATTTGTGCACATGTTGAATTTGAGGGAATAACTGCTTCTTATTAATACACCTTTTTAAGTCTTGCATATGTGTGAAAATTTAACCTAACTATATTACATATTAATAAGGAAAATGAGTTAATGTGCATTCGTTTCACTAAATATTTGAGTTGTCTGCTGGGTTCTGTGTATTCTGCAAGACTGTGTTTGATCTCTGCTAATCACATGGGCAAGGATGAACTAGATATTTCTGGATGATCAATATGGTAAATTTGTCTCTTTCCTTATAGAGAACTCAAACTAATCTTGCTTTGAGTATCAAATTTCTTAATCCTTTGCTTTGTAAGAGAATGCTTAGATAACCCTTCTCTAACAGAGATGCCTATTAAGTTGTAGTAAAGAAAAAAGAGATTAACAGGGCTAACCAATTAGTGAAGCATACAGAATAGAAAGATGTTTATTCATCATTACCTTCTTAACCCACCCCATGCTGGGAAACCCTAATGCCAAGCTCATAGAAATGTGAGCTTTGGAATCACACCTAGGTTAAAATTATTGCAACTCTACTACTTCCTAGTGGTGTGACCTTGAGTTCTGTGAGCTTCAGTTTCTTCATTTTAAAAAGAAGAAAAAAAGGTGGGAGGAAGGATAGTACCTTGTGGGGTCATTATGAAGATGCATTTAGATAAAGTAAATGAGGCATTTCATATCTTACTTTGCATGGTTGTGGTCCATAGTGAATGCTCCTTTTCTTTTATCTTTAGGTCTTATAAAGACAGTGTCATTTGGAGGGGAAATAAATTACAAAATGTATAAATGTTGGTGCTATTAATAAGTTGACTAAAGTATGTTTATACAGTGAGTTGCTTTTTTAAGACACAGGAAAACAATACAATTTTTTAAAATTTAAATTCAATTATTTTTATGTTGTTCAGGAGATTATAAACCAATGGGTTATTAAAGGTTGGTAGGAAATGTAAAGGTCATGCAACCCAAACACATTTCTACTAGAATGTTTGATATTATGTTGAAAGGAAAACTTCCTTCAGGTTTGTGGGAACTTGATTTTTACTTTTTAGGTGGTAGGAGGGGACTCTTTTTTGGTTTAATTTAGATACAAAGTTGTCGATTGTTGTAGTTCTTCAGAGATATGACTACTAGCCATTTGGTTTCTATATTGGAAATATATCTTGCTTACTTATGACAAATTTGTGTGGGGGGTATGCATGTGTTCATGTTATTTGCTATATTAGTTAATTGCTATAAAAGGGATATTGCATCTGTTCGATCTATTAGAAACAAGGCATGGCTTAGTATGGGTCTAGGACCTGGAATCATTTAAACCTAGTTCATTTGACTAAATCCTGGTTGCGTTTCAACCATGGGTTATTTACTTAGTTCTCTATTGGCAGTGCTGTGGACCAGCCATTGGCTACAACCAATACAACCAATATTGCAGGACACTATCCTCAAGGTGTCAGTAAAGATTAAACCTTGAAAGCAAGGTCAATTCAAAACATTTGCTATGGAAGTCCTCTTCTGTAATGGTTTCTTCAAGGTTGTAAACTCTAAAACCAAACCTTTTTTTAGAGGTCTACAACAGAAACTTACATTAAAAGTTATGCAAATAGTGCTTTCCTTTTTGTTTTCTTTCTCTTGTTTGTTGTTTCTTACTCATGTCAGATGTTTTTAGTGTGAAGTTTTTGCTTGGACTGTGTTGTGTTGATTCAGATGCTGACATTTAAAAAGCCAAATCTAGAGAAATGGAGCTTTCGGGTAAACTTCCGAGTAATAAGTGGGATGATTATGTCCATGATGTTGTTGCGCCTTTTAAATGCCATTTAGGATGGTCACCTTCTGACATATGAGTAATGATGGGTGGGTTTCTTAAGCCTACATTCTCAGAATGCTTTTCATTTTCTTTTCATGTTTTCTGTGTCATTAACTGTGAGAAGTTGTATTTTCCCAAGGCATGATTTATTTATTGCGTGGAACAGACTTTCTGATTTAGTTTTTCATCCTTCACATTCACATTTTGGATTGGAGGTGTATGTGAAAAATGTATTGGTCACATTAAAAATCTATTTAAGAGAAAACCTTAATTATTCATTAAGTCACCCAGACCCTGTTAACCTTTTTTATATTCTTGGATCTGAAAAATCCTGGGTCATTGAATTGCCCAATATAGGGATGATATTTGAACCTGGCTGAACATCAGATCACTTAGGGGTGTTTTAGAAAAATATTGATCCTCAAAGGATCCCTCTCACCAAGATATTTTTGTTTCATAGGTCTGAACTGGGTCCTGGGAATCTGAGTCTTATTTTATTTTTTATTTTAAAAAATTTTAAGGGGCACCTGGGTGGCTCAGTCAGTTAAGCATCTGACTTTAGCTCAGGTCATGATCCTGGGGTCCTGGGATCGAGCCCCACATCGGGCTCCCTGCTCGGAGGGGAGTCTATTTGTCCCTCTCCCCCAGCTCATGCTCTCTCTATCTCTCTCCCTTAAATAAAGAAATAAAATCTTTAAAAAAAAATTTTTTTAAAAAGATTTTATTTATTTGAGAGAGAGGGAGGGGGCATGAACAGGGAGGGGGGCGGGGCAGAGGGAGAGGGAGAAGCAGAGTCCCCACTGAGCAGGGAGCCTGACACTGGCCAATCCCAGGACCCTGAGATCGGGACCTGAGCTGAAGGCAGACACTTAGCCGACTGAGCCACCCAGGTGCTCCCTAGGAATCTGAGTTTTAAACTCTTCTCAGAAGAATCTGAGTTTGAAACACACTTACTTATCTCTTACAATATTCAGGTAGAGTACACATGGCAAAGTAATGGGAAAGTTGATGTTTTGAAGTGGGTTTTTGATTTTATAATTATTTATAAATCTCTCAGATGTAGAAGAACCAATCTCCTGTCATAGACTTACAAGTAAGGGATTTTAGTAACACCCTCATTTAGATGAGCAAACTGAAGGATGGAGAGAGTGTGTAATTTATATCAGGTTACTCAGCAGTTTCCCAGTGAAGCCATGATTGTGTCCAGGTAGCCTGACTCCCTGTTGGTGTCCCTTCCACCGTCATGTTATCAGCCACAGACCACCACTGCCACATTGTTGGGGCTCAACAGACTTTGGATGAATTAAATAAATGAAAATACTGTGCAGCAAATCTTTGCTTTTCATGGTTATTTTCAGAGATTTGACTTGGGTTAACTTTGAACATTGGTAAATGCTAAAACTTCCTTCTGCTTGCTGGTGCTCTTGTTTCTTGGGTAAAGATTTTCTAAAATGTTTACTTTCTTTTATAAACTCAGAATTCTTTTGAGTATAAGTAGGTTACTTTCCGATTTTGTTTAGTTCTCTGAGTGGTGTTAATAATGTCTCTTGAGAAATTTCCAACTTGACTGGTAATTTGATTTGGTACAACTCTGGGCAATTAGATGGTAGTTGGACAGAGAAAATTGTAGCTTAACTTGACCCAGACTTGGGTCATGATGCAGTACAGTGTGATGGAAGATGCCAGACAGGGAGCAGATTGCTCTGGATATCTGGCCCCAGCTCCCACGCTTACTGCTTTGGTTCTCTGGATCAACAACTTCATTTTCCTAGCTCTGTTTCTTATTTTGATTTCCTCCTCTCTCCTTTCTTTTCCTCCTTCCTTCCCAACCACAAAATATTTCTTACACCAAAAGAATATATTCAGTGTCCACATAAAGTAGAAAGAAGCATGATAAAATGAACCCTGTGTACC